TACTTTCGGGCTGGAAGACTATGCAGTTACTGTTGTGTGGAGGGTCTTAGGGGGAACCACATAAAATTCCGCCCCCGTCGAACACCACTACCTTCAAGCTTAGAACGGCCAGAGCCTGTAAATACCGAGGAATTCGTAAGCTGTACCGTGCGATGTATGCAAACTGGACGTTATCAACCCCCCCACCCCCACCCCCCCCACCCCCCCCCAAAGACCGGAAGAGCAAACCACAAAAACAGCAGAAACGCACGACAGTAATCCATGCGCTAGCACAAACAAGAAAGACAGAAATTTCTGGGCAAAGGTAAGGAAAGACAGGGTACTGGATCGAGAAACCACACCATCAGCATTCATGTGTGTTTTCAGGCTTCCATGTACCCATACATGCACACACACACACACACCCCTGCACTGCATAATGTTGCCGGCTTGTTCGGTGTGGTACGACGGAATGGCAGGTGTTTTATGTTAAGATATGCAGAAAGACAATGCTTGCTAACATGCCTTTCCAATGCCAACCAACGCGAATGTAATCATATGTAGCCGCGTGGCCGAGTTACTGTTACTGTTTGAAAAGAGTTTCCTTATGTGGTTTTGGTTTTACTTTTTGTAGGGGAGCAGCTCCCGGTCGTCGCACGCGGTGCGCCCACTTTTGACGAGCTTGGTGAGGTAGTTGATGCGATTAGTGTGCGGAGCCTTCTGTCCTGTCATGGCTGCGAAGCTGTGGCGAGGATGATCGGATGCGAATTGCTTTTTGAGAGCTGACATCTGCTTCGTGCCAACATGTATGCGCAAGGGTTCTGAACAGGATCCTGAACAGGGTTCTGAACAGGTTCTGAACAGGGTCCCCAAACAGGTCCCCTAAAAGGTGCCCTAAAGGGCCGGCTGCGCAAACGGGTGGGACAAACGGGTGCTTGCGCACCTTTTTTCCCGCAAGGGCTGTCCGGTTCCCTCGCGAAGCACTCAGGGAGGAGGCGTTGCGGGCAAAGGCTGTGCGGTTCGCCTATCGCTCCACCTGGGACCTGCTTCTGTTGCTTGTCGATCCCTCGCAGCTAGCGGTTCTTTTTTTCACCCTGTTACTAATGTGCAACCTACTGAGTTGAATGAAATGTATGAGGTCATCAGCTTTCTGAAGTTTCCGTGAATGCATATATGTGTGTATGAAAGCTTGTGCATCGATAGCAACATGCAAACGCAGAGTGTTAATCATGCAGTGAGGTGCTTGGCACTTTCCAGATCACATACATATGTATGAAGATGATCTTATGCACATGCATGAAAAATTCATTGGCATAAGTATCGTTCACTTACAAAAGACGAAACACTTGTGTTCACATATGTACATACACATATATATATATATGTAGGTATGTACGGAGACAGTACACACACATGTATAGCACGATAAGGCTGATAAAACACTGTGAATGCCATATACGGGTATGCACAGGTAAGGGTTTTTAGGATCTTCCTGGCAGCTGTCCAGGATCAACTAACATGCTACTTCAAGAATGGTCAACTACGGCAGTACTAATGCAAAGCGAACCGCACAGGTCGAGGTGTGCATGTTTGGAGACTAAGTAAGCCCTGCTGAAGCATCGCACACCCAGACAAGCCTGGCGGGTGATCGATTGACCGTCCATGGCAGCGATGCAAAAGATGCATACCGATATCTCTTCGTATTCGTGCATACACTATCACGTATGCAAGCAAGTAAGTAAGGAGGAAAGGGTGTAAGTAAGCAAGTTGGTATCTATGTATGGCTGTGCATGTAGGCGAATTTCCTCGTATCGCAACATTTTGCAGCTGCGGACTCGCAAGCTGTAAACCCCGAAACGAGTGGCGAACAGAGAACCTGAACCCCTGAAGAAATAACAAGTGCAAACAAGAAGAGTAGTGGGTGGGAGGAAATTCAGCTCGGAAAAGAGGGTTGTGTGGAAATTCGGGGAGCCATCCGAAACTACTCATCGGTGGCACTCAAAGGTGCTGCTTGCTTTGCTTGTTTGCCGTGGGGCAACATGGATGTTGTGTTGATGATGGTTTGATCCAAGTTCGTGCAACCCCTGACGATCCGATATCTCCCACATCTAAGGTGTGGCATATTCGCAGGATGTGGCAACCTTGATTGCACCTTTGGGCCTCCCTGTGGTGCTAGAGGCAGGCCGGAGCCGTGCATTGCCAGATGCCGTGGGTCTGCCGTTTCCAGGCCGCTTTATCTCATCCAAGCGACTCCAAGTTGCAGGGCTTGATGTGCGAGGACTGCAGTGCCAGAAAGCTCCAAAGGTTTGCTCTCCTTGGATCCAGGCTTTTGCACGGCTTGCACAGGGTGGTGGCGAGGCTGCTATGGCCGTGGACTTGATCTGGGGCCGAGTTCTGTACTTTGCGATTGCATGCTCAGAAGGTAAAATGCATTGTGGCTTCTCTCGAGACCCCAGATGTTGCCACGGCCTTTTGCTCGTGTCACAGCGGAATGCCACGTGGCCATGCAACCTGACTCAAGGCACTGTCCATGCTTTGCGACGCATTGCAGAGGCTGGCCCGGACATCGTTGGCCGAGCCAGCATTTTCGGAGACTCCTGTGTATTATTGCCAGCCTGTGTGAATTTGTGCAGGCTGTGTGAGAATGCGATCTGCCGTGCCGCCAAGCTGTTGCTCTTGAGGGCTGCTGTGGCATGTTGTAAGATTTCCTGTTCAGGTCAGCCACGTCAAGTCGTCGATGAGCTCCTTCATCTCTGCGACAGTGATCCCTCCAACCTGGAGTTGTCTCGATCTCACAGCTGCCACTGAAGCTCCAAGCAGCAGCACCGAAAGCAGCTCAGGCAGCGGCAGGTGTCCTTGTGCCTGCACAGGCCGCTTGCAAGATTAGGCCAAATTTCTGTTACCTAGCATGCTGTTTCAGCACCTTGGCCGCTTTGGGTTTCAAGTAAGCCTTCAAAGTGGCCCCGTGAGGCTGCTGGCTGCTGGGGTCGTGTCTGAGGCCGCATCCTCAGTGGAAGATGTGGCGTCCCAGAAGAAGGCTTGCGCCGACGATCGTCTTGAACTTCCGGTCGAGGAAAGAGAGCAGGCTGAGGTTGGTAGATGAAAAGAAACTCGTTTTTGTCCCACAGGGTGAAGGCTGCGACGGGAATGGATTTCCGTGCATTCGATGGCCATGGGACTCATCATGAGACACTGCAAACAAATGCAAGCGGACTAGACTGCAATCCAGACTGCTTCAGGCATGTGTGCGAGGCAGAGGCACTTTGCTGAACTCGCAGCCGGCAGCCAAGTTTAGGTTGGCATGCAAGCGGTAAGCATGTAGATACCGCAATCAATGCATGTTGCGGTACATTCTCAAGGTGGGCTCACCTGCTGGTCACTGCCCTAGCACTGCAGTGGCACGCTGCATTGCACTCCCTCATGCAATTTTGTGGGTGTGCGGGAGCCGTCCGATTCGCTTGCTGCACGGCAATACAGCCTTTCCCATGACCGGCCCGCGCAGCTCTGTGGCGATTCGGGGAACTGGTGCCAGATGCCAACTCCAAGACTGATACCCAAAAAGGGTATTGACTGAAGGACTCCTGCCGAAGGAATAAAAGCTTTGAGTCTCAACCACCCTAGGCAGCGGATGTGCACTCTCCACAAGACCTCAGGGTGTGTAACTATAAGCTACCATATACGTTGCGCAAGGAACGCTTCCTTGGCGCCGAAGATGAGGAGGCCAAGTTGGACGGCACTTTTCACAGCAAGGCCTGGCCTAACGAAGAAGGTTGCCATGCGGGTCGGACGGACTGTTGGGGCAAGGTCCAGGAGTTGTTTCACCAGGAGGTGGCTTTGCACTTCGAGTACGAGGTGCCGGTCTGCGGCTGACATACAGCGCGTGCGTGCGGAACTTTTCGAGCTTTCGCGACACAGGCTGCAGAGCGCTGCCTGCATTACCTTCGAAGAAGGTGGCTGTGCTTTTTACGCCTTCTTGTAATCTTTCCTGTTCTTTCTGATTGCTGTTTTACTTTGGAAGCTCTTTCAGGTGTCAATAGAACGCTTCTCCGGCACCATGATAGATGTTCCTTGCTGGTATCATCCTGGTAGTTATCCTTCGCATAGTCGGAAACGGAAGCTCGGAAGGGAGCAGGGGTGAAAGACACAAGGGGGAAACAACCGAACATGTTGACATCAGACAAGACCGATGGCTCTTGTGCAGCAAGCTGTGCCGAAGCTCGCCCGAAGGTCGCATAGCCTTCCAAACCCTTGACGATCAAGCAAGAATGCGTCCACTGCTGGGGAATTGCGGCCCTTCGGGCTGATTTGCTCCTGCAGCTCTGCTGGGGTCTATCCTTCGCATCGATAAGAGGGATGGTATGCCATCGACGGCAAAGGAGACCACCGAAAACACTCCATGTGCAGGACTGGTCAGTGAGGACCAGCTTCGAAAAGACGGTGCACTGGTGGGTTCGACACCAATTTTCCTGTCTCTCTTTTGCCTCGGGATCGCCTGAATCTGCAGCTCGCTAGAGAGCCAGCAATGTTGCTGTGAAGCGATCATTCCTGGCAAAACATGACAAGAAAGGTTCTTTGTCTTTATTGCCTGTCAATGAGCATGACGATGGGGCACCAGTGTTGTAGTTCTGGAGATTGAATAAGATTCCGGGCGCGGTTCCGTTGTTGCAGGACGCAGCCGTCCTTGGTTTTCTTGGAAGTGATCCGGTGTTTGGCAGAAAACCTGGAGGCAGGGTGTTGACATTGGAGAAAATGTGGATTCATCTGCTGCGTGCAGGACTATCAAAGCCGTTCAGAGGCGCCGCCTTGACAAGAAGCTGCGCTGACGTATCACGCCCTTCATTCAGGCTCGCGAGCTTGCTTGGGACGCTGGTCGACAGATGCTGGTTCCTTTGGATCCTCACCTGCGCCTAAGACTACAGAACGAGGCCTGCATCGGATGCTTTCCGGAGCTTGCAACTGCCCTTGTAAGATGCTGAAAGGTTCTTGAGGCTATGCAGCTCACGCCTCTGGCTCTTTGGGCTGACATGGCAGCGGTACCTTGGCTTGCTTCAGGCTTCGGCTGCCGCAAGCCCTTTGTTCTGCGGCTTTGGCAGCCGCAGACTGGCCCAAGAGCGAGGTGCTGTGGCAGGGCATGGCAGAGCCAGGAGGGCGAGCGGAATCATGCACCTTTGAACAGGAAAGTTTGGTGAAGAAGACGCAGGTGCCTCAGAATTTGACAGCATAAGTCGAGACATTACGCGCCATGCGAGAGATTGGGGGTGATTCACAGCAAATCAAGGTCGCTTCTGAGCTGAAACCAAGAAGAATATAACCAAACAGAAAACTTCCTGGTTCAAAGGCTGGTCTGGCTGGAAGGCCCACCGTCGTCTCCCCGTGGTGCCAACATGCCCCAACACTAAACCCAAAACCATAACCCCTAAATCCCTAAATCCTAAACCCTAAACCCAAAAACCCTAAACCTCGCCGCAGGCACTTTGCCCCGCATGATGATAACGTCCACAATGCCAAACATCAAATGTCGCCCCGTCCATGCCCGCACGGTGATAACAACGAAAATGCTACCAGAGCATCCAATGTCGCTCCGACCATGCCCCCGCGATGATATCAGTCATGCTGCCAGAGCATCTAATGTCGCCAGTGCACGCATGCGAGTCATGCACGCATGATGGTAATGTCCATGCTACCAGTGCGCACTGTGGTGTCGCGTCATGCACGCACGATGATAGGGTGCCCTCTGTCGAATATGCCGGTCTGGCCAACGACCAGCAATAGCTCTGCTGAAGACAGTCCGAATCGTGGCAGAGCCAGCAAGCTCGGGAAAATGTTGCTTGTTTTCAGAGGGGCATCTCTTCAGACACTCCGTGGAAATACAGTGACAAGGCTGTACGACTCAGCTATCGCGCTAAGTTTGGCGTGTGTGAACAGTCAGCTACGGGGTCGTTGTAAGCGGGGCACGGGTGAAATCCCAAAACCTTGCTTACGACCGCCGAGCTGCTGCTCCTTAGTTTGTTCCGGCACATGCCCGACACTGTACTGCAGCACCTTCAGCATGCACACTCAAGACCTGCGATGATGCTTGGTGATTGGTTTGGGATGGGTCCGCGGTTTGCATGGTGCCATCCCTGAACAGTGACAGTGTCTGGTGCCACTCTGAGGGCTCACCTTCTCAACGAGTGCAGCAAGCTGCTGGCAGCGAGCCTTCAGTCGACCTTGAGCGCATGCCGCCACCTTGCCCACGTCCGAGGAAAGGAAAACCCAGGTGACACAGGCCGGGCCCTTGGGCCCTGGGCCCTTGGGCCCTGGGGTTGTGCGTGGCTCTGAAGTGCGGCTCGGAGTGTCCAGGATCACCATGAGCGAGCTGCCGAGCTGCGGCGGGAAGTGATGTTGTTCGAGGCATTGGGAACGCTGCAAGCGACTGATTCAACAAAGAGTGCGCTGCTTCCCAATTTGATCCCAATTTGCTTCGGCTCGGTGCCGAGCGGCATAGCCAAAAACAACCGAGCCTGGTGAGCAGTCTTTCATTGGTACAAGGCGGCTTCGATATGTGTCCAGGTCACTGGCACGCGAGAAGCGTTTTTGAGAGTCTCTGGCAGTTCTCGCGGCACCATACCAGGCAGCATGTCCTTCATGAACGTGGGCGTGTTACTCTCCACCATATGATAGTCTACTAAATTTGAAGGAGGGCAAGCGAGCGAGTCTCAACTTCTCTTCTCAGTCCTTTCGTGGTCTGGTGCTTCGAAGGCAGTGGAGTACTTGGAACTGAATGCCGCAGAGGCCACCCCAACTCAGGCCGAGCACGAACAGCAATTTGTATCCAGCTGCATGTCACACATTGAAAGATTTGAAAGTGCCGACCCGTGCGGTCGGTTTGCGGAGAGGTGTCTTCTGCATTGCATATGCTTGAAGCTCCCAACTCAGAGGGTCTCGGGACGGGGAGGGTTGTTTTGGCGCATGTTGTCGCGAGGTCGCAACCGCCGTGGCTCCGGTCGGGCCCATGGCTGAAGTGCGCTTCGCCAGAGACGGAGCTTGTGCAGGCCGATGCTTTGGAACGCCTGCGGTATCGCCTTGGGAGGCCCCTTCCGCAGCCTGCAGTCTCGCTTCCGTGTCCCAGCTGCTCTGTCTTTGTCAGAGGCTAACTGCGAAGGTTTCGCCCAAGGCTGAGACCTTCGAACTCAAAGCAAAAAGACAGCACAGACAGACACTTCAGTACGGTTCATGCGAGTTTCCGAGTTGTCGGTGGGTCGTCAAGCTTAGAAGGCGAGCGAGGTTGGACTGTTGGTTCATGAAGGCCTGAGCACTTATGGAAGTAACGACATGCAACTTATTTTGGAACGGGCTCGCGCCCAGCCACTATGTACGAGGCTGTGTTGTGCTAGATAGGGCTACCAGAAGGAGTGGTCAATCCATGCCCAGGGCTGTCGGCATTTTGGGTTGTGCCTCGGAGGTTCTGCACATTGCCGGAGACTGCATTCTGTGTTTCAAGCAGGCTGTCTTCGGATCAAATCCAAGAAGCTAGTCCGGTAAAGACTGGCATAAGCCACTTGTCATGCTTTTCTTCGTTCCAACAAGCACGGCATGTACAACAGTCCAATCTGAGCGCTGCACGAGTTTCAGATCAAACGAATGTCAGTCCGAGTGGGAGCACGAGTGTGTGGTATAATTACATGATACCCTCTGTGCTGCTGGCGAAGACCGAAGCCACATGCATCAGGCGGCTGTTTTCTTGCTCGGGAGGGTCCGACAGCATGGGGCACAGGAACCCGACCGACTGAAGGCGCTGGCCGAACAGGCATGGGCCCGGTGAGAGGCACCGGCAGCTCTTCAATACTCACCCTGCGCACTCAGGATCCCAGCTACCTGCGGCGAGGCCGACTAGCCCAGGAGCTGCTGAGGTTCGCCGCGAAAGCCTCTTCCATGCTGTCTATGCTGCTGCGCTTCCACGTTGGAGCCTTGTGCAGGGATGCAGAGCGGGTGTATGATCCGCAGCAAGAAAGGCGGACTGCTGAGGATTCCCGAACATATCAGTAGGCTCAGTAGAGTGGTGGCGAGCACCTGGTTAAGATCATGGGAGAAGAAATACAAGTTCTTCAGCGAAGCCAAGATGAAGGCCCTAGCTTCTCCAAAGTGCCTCGACAATTTGCACGCCTGCAGTCACCTTGCTCGCAGGCAACATACCGCACGTTTGCACGAGTGACGAGCTTGGGGTCTGCTGACACTTTTGCCATAGAACTTGGGGTTCACATGCTCCGTTCTACGAGTGTTTGTGTTCCTTCTGGCGCTTCTGTCGTAGAGCCCAGCACTGTGGAGCAATGGTTGCGGGTACATGGGAAGCTAGCTTGTGCAACCTCCAAACGTCCGCGAACACTGAGGCCAGACATGATCCGTTCAACAAAGATCCGTAAGTGCCCCAACTGCTGAGTTGTCTGCATTGACACTGGTACCACACATGCAAGTACATGTCTGCCAGGGCGTGGGGGAAATCGGTTTTGTCGCGTTTCGCGACATATTGCGGCGACAGAAATGTGAAACTGGAGGACAGGGTGTGCATGCGGGGTGTGCATACTTCCGACTGCGGAATGGATCCTGAGACGTCTTATATGTTGTATGGCATGCTAAACAGAAGTCCCGAATCTTGTGGTTCTGTGCAGTGCATTTGAGTTGCCAGTGCTGCTTTGGTGTGAAGCTTGGCCCTTGTGTACTAGACTTTGGCTGTGCAAGCCGGCAATCGGTCGTTTCGAAACGCTGAAATTGTGTGCCTTGAAAAGTTAGACTGTGCACCTCTAATTACAGTTCTTTTGTTGCATCCGTGCATTTCGTCCGGTTTGTGACACGTGCCAATTGTTTTCTGCGGTGTGTCCGCCGGGGTTCAAAACTATCCGTAGGCCTCGTCGCTGAATAATTGCAGAGTTGTCGTGGACACATGTCGACATTCGATGAATGCTTCTGTCCTTGGTCAGGACCGTGACAACCGAGTTGACCACACGCATATGCTTGAAAGCTGTGACCATCATTCGGAAACCGTTGTCGCTTAAGTCCAGTCCGTCGCTTGTCCTGTGTCCGACGTGGGGACTTTGACTTCCCGATGCCATTTAAGCCTTAGCCCGTCGTGCACCCTCCCCGAGGTTTGCTGCTGCTCGCAACTCCGGTTGATCTCCACCCCAGTGCCAGCTACTAGTATTTGGTTTGTCCTACAGGACATTTTCCATCATGTTGATGCAGACGGCGTCGGAGTCTCGATATTATGAAAACTGCACTTGCCAGAAATGGTGTCAAAGCGTGCACTCCGAGGATTATTCGCTGAGCAGACCTGAGGTCAAGCATGCTTTGTGCAGGCAGTGAAAATTGGACTTATTGTTCGGGCTGGAATCGATAGCAGGGATGGAAGTGCCATCGCGCATGCTTATGCTTGGTCAAGTGTTCCGATGAGTTCGGATCCATTTACACGCACGCAGTAGGTGGCAAGCCTCGTGCACGGCAGACATTGCGTCGGTGCAGAGTCTTGTGCATTTCACTTTGGCTTTGACAGACTCTGCAGGGTGCTGCCCTCCCTTTCAGAGCAGGAGGTCGTGGCCATATTTGATGCTCCTCGCCAAGAACCTTCGATGTCGTACTAGTGTCGCCTTCGCGAGGGATTTTGCTTCCCAGCTGTTGTAGTTATTTCGAGTTTGTCGTACTAGTTGTAGCATCGTTTGTGTCGTTCCAACCAAGGCAATCGACGAGGATCACAGTGGTGCCGCACAACTGTCGTGTTTGCTCCGCTCCTTGCGAAGACAAGCAAGCTGTTTCGGTCCATAGATACATACATACCTGCATGCGTACACGGATGTCGGTATGTATGCATGCATGCACGATGGATAGAAGGATGGATGGACGGATGTATGTTTGTATGCACACTTGGTCGACGGAGTGATCTACGCACAAACTGCCTTCACATGAAGCCTTGGGGTTTCTAGAGTCCCCTTTCTTTGCTGGCGGTTTCTTGCTTTGACGATTTCAGGCAGAGGTTGTATTTGTCCACACTGTACAGGCCAGCACGTGAATAGCATGGCCTCAACCTGGAGCCAGGTCAGCGTGCAAGAGTTTCGAACAGCCTTGGAGTGGGGCAGGAGAGCCGGTATTGCCAGCACAGAGGTTAAACAAAATCCGTTTCTTTTGTGCCGCCAGGAATGCTAAATTCAACAAAGAGTGTACTGAACGGCACAGGAATCCGCAGGAGTCTCAGTCCGAGGAGAGCCGATCAGTTTGCACGCGAGAACGCCGATAAGGACACATCGGATTAAGCGTTTCCCACCGGCGAGAGTCGATGGATGGGAGCACCTCAGGGATGCCGACAGTGCAGTGAGCTCAACTGCTGTACTTTGCTGTGCTTGGCCGTGCTTTGCTGTGCTAACCTGGCTGTGTGAGTGATGCAATGCCAGGTGCAGGGAACCAGGTATGAGAGGGTTGGCCAAGCGGGCAGCTTGCTGGAGATGTGTGACAAGGACCGTGCTTGCGAAGAGTTTCTTGAGGCTGCGAGAACCAGGTCGACTTAGATGCTCAAGCGAAGCTGGTTACGACGGTTACGATTGCGTACGGGATCGGTGAGGGTTGACGTCTTCCAACAACCCTCGGGGTCTTCACCGTGGTTGGGGGGAGTCCCGGGAAAAGCTCCGGCATGCTGAGCCCTCCCCCTTACCCACTATAGGGTCAGTGTGAATAGAGACGACGCCGCCTGGGGCTTTTTCGGCAGTATCGAGACCGCACCGTGACCGATTTTCCCGCGGTTGGGCCGCAGCGTGCTTCAACGGCCCATCATACCCGTTTCGGTTTTGGGCATTTGGCCACTCGTGACCACTGTTAGCGGGTTTCCCTCCCGTGCTATGGGGTTTGGCATTTTGCAACATTTGCAGTCACCCCTGTAAAGGATTCAGCGTTCGTCACCTCATGCCTTCTTGGTGACGGCTGGTAATTAATGTCTTCGGTTGGCAGCTCATCATCTCCATTCTCTTCTCTTTGGATTTGAGTTTTTGGTTGAACTTTCGAACCAGATCATGGCTAGCAAAGCCGGAAATGCGAAAGAGGGGTCACGGTTCCCCAAAACCCAAGCGAAACAGAAGATTGCGAACCGGGAACCTGGAAGAAGACCGAAACCCTATCGAGGGATGCCTGCCATGGTTCCCTCCTCCATACCTCAAACCTAAAGAAGATTTTGACTTGCGATCCAAGACTCTGGAAGGACATTCGGCTGGTTATGCCGCAATTCAAAATCCGGTCATGTTCGTTATGCTTTAGGGGTTTCGGGGAACCAGTCTCTGCTAGTTCAAGCTAACGCACTACCAATCGACCCGCGGGTTATGCTTGTTTT